ACTCAGCATGAATGGCAATAAAAAAGTAAGATTATAAATCAGAAGCTAAAAGTCTGAGTATAGAATAAAATTATGATAATGGCAAAAATTCCAGGGAGTTAAGAAAATGAAAGTATAGGAATAGTGCAGAGCATTATAATGTAAGATAAAGATAAGAACAGATGAAATTCCACAGAATTCAGAAAAAGGGTGAATAGAACAAAAGAGTAACGTACAGAAGTATAGAAAGTCAAGTTATAGTAAAATAAGTTACAGTAAAACAGAGGACAAACCTCTAGAAATATAGAAAAACAAGATAAAGAAATGTAACAAATAAGAATTCACATAAGAACCAAGTTTATTTTGTATTCATTTCCATAACAAAACACTTTGTACTATGCCAGGTCTGAATCATCCTGAAAAGAATTCATGACAACTAGATTTTAAATTCCAGTTTCCACATATCCAAAATAGTGGTTTGGATTGAATGCTAAACATAAGACTTTGATTAAAAAACCATATACGATGGGGAGTAAGCTGGCATGCTTATTTACTGGACTGGAGCTTTACGTGTGATATGACTAATTAGAAGCAATACCAGCAGTAACTTTTGACTGAACCACACACAAATATCAGCCGTTGCTGAATTTACCTTCAAAATAAAGCAACCTAGCAAGATTCCTATGGACTCTAAAGGAACACAGCTGCAATACAGGAAAGCAAACAAATCATTTCACACGATGAAGAAATAGATGTTTTCTCCTTATTTCTTGCCAAGAGAAAGAAAAAGCTACAGCCTCAGCAATCTATGGAGCTAACATTCCTGAATGAAGAGCCTTTAGAATTGTTGGCCATCTGGAAAACCATACTTAACTCAGAGCTGATCTGGACTGCCTGACATTGAGAAAGGATGACTTAGTTGCTGAAAATGATGAAAACCATTCCCCTTTCTAACATGTCAATGACTTCAGTAACCAAAATATTCATCCCCTCCACTTCACCCTTGAAGAAATATGGTCTCTGTTTAAGGTAACTAGCTGTACATCCCCAACCCCAAATCACTATCAACCTCATATTCTCAAGGATGGATTAGTTCTCTGTGCTAGAAATGCCTAAGCAGAGCCCAATACAGAAACCATGACTAGCCAGCATTGGCTCTCTAACTGTTTCTTCAAGACAGGAAAAGTCAGCAGTCAAAACACTAACCTTTATGAACATGAGTACTTTTTGATACATGCTTTTGACAATGGTACTTCCTCCAGGTGAAAAGACTGCAGAATGTGTGTGTGTGTGTGGGGGAAAGGATTTAAAAATCCGTCAATCAATCCCCCACCTCCCTGTACAGATCCTAGCCAAAGTCAAACCTATACATCCCAAACACCACTTTTTTTTTGAAAGATAACCCTCGACTATTTCTCAAATCTGCTTTTGCCCTTCTTTAACAGTGCCAAAGAAGAGAGTCCAGAACTAACAATGTCAATATTCTGTATTATATAGAGGAGTATGGAAATAGCCTTGAAAAAAATATGCAGCAGCCATTACAAAAACATCAGTTACCATCATTCATATGGTGTGTGTTTCCAGACTTGGCCTACCTTGAAGGACTGACAATTTCTCAGATAGGATACGTTTTGAGATAACCATGCTGAGATAGCAGAATGTAGTCTGGCCAGCAAGAAGATATCAACCTGGGCCAGTACCATTCCACATACAATTGCAGAAACTGGCCACCCTGGTTGCCTACAAGGAACACCAAGACGAGCAAGGCAGGGAACAGCAAGGAAGAATATCTTGATTCTCAAATCAGTAAACCATATGGCTAGAGCAGGTTGCAATCCTTTCTACGCTGGGAAAATAGATTACCTACATTTGTAACAAGGTTGGGTGTAAGCTTTCTGTTGACTGTAAGACCTGATCAGCACAAACTGTTAACCTGCAGTGTCTTCAGGATGAAGCTCAAGTCTTGGCATTACATCACCATTATTAGAAAGCTCTTAACAGAACTTTCTAATAATGGTGTTGTAATGCCAAGACTTGGCGTTACTTATTTGGAAAGTAATTTGGAAAGTCAGGGGCACAGGAGAGAAATCAAGTAAGAATTGGGCTGACATCCAAGCAAGTTGTCCAAGAAACCAAACCAGCTCCTTTCCATGGTTCCAAAACTATTCCATGGCCTGCTTAAGGTCCAAACCTATGGCTACTCCCTATGCTTATCAGTTCAATTAGACCTCCCATAACTGCCCATTCTAGCGATAGCAAGAAAGGAACCCACTTCCTCACTCACCTAAGCTCTTCCAGCTCCTTTTTCTTTTTCATTTCCTCCTTCTCCTTCCGCTTCATCTCTTGGATCTGGGCCTTCTTCTCATTCCTCTCCTCCCTATCACGGGCTTCTTTCTCTGCAGCCAGGTCTGGGAATCGTTCCACTTTGGTTTTTTCCAGTCGGTTCAAAATCTCATTCACCTTCTTCTCCACTGTCAATAGCTTCACCTTGGAACAGGAAAGAACTGTAATTCTTATAAAAAATGTTGTTGAATGAACTCTGAATAACATGCAGGTCTCTATTCCCTGAGGCAACACTGATGCAGAAGCACCTCAAATGGTCATGTACTTGGAGAGCCAATGTTTTTACGGGTACCAAGAAAGTGGACATTCAAGAGATCCAACACAGTTAAGCAAGTGGATGCACCTTTCAAGGAAACAACTATTTTTATCTGATCCTGGTGTAAACAGGATTACTTGGCTCTAGAAAGGCCAGGCCTGCCACCATGTTTCACTTACTATATATTGACTGCTACAGTTATGCAAGTCACCAAAGTAAAACAGTCATTCAGAGAACTTGGACTTGATGATTTAAATAACTACTTCCAACTGTGTAATGTTGTGATTCTTAGACTATGGACTCAAATTGCATTTGGCATCATAGATATATGATTGATGTCAATGTCACTAAAATGTCTTCCATCCATACTGCAAAATAGGGGAAGGGAAAGAATCATGAGAATCTGAGACTGTGATAGGAAAACTTGGATTGGGTTTTTAATGCTTCCAGAAGCCACTGTTAGAAATCCTCAGAAAACAGCATCAGTAAGACCTGCTTCTGCCTTTCAAAGTAGAGCTTTGCAACGCTGGAGATCAATCACTGATTTAAGAAAGTCAATTAAGGAAAAGAAAACCCTGAAAATTATGAGCTCCCTTGATTGCATGATTAGTTACCAAACGACAGGCAGGCAGGGAGCCACCATTCCCTCCACAGTCTCATACATACTCAAACCCCATAAAGTCAATGCAGAAAGAAAACTTCTGAAGGCTGCTCTACTGCGCACCTTAAAAAAGGTGAGGATCCATGCTACTGCTAGTACTGACCAGAAAATTCCCTTTGTCCTGGATTCACTTCTAAATCTTACTGACAGATGTTCTTTTAAAACAGCAGGACACTCTTCTGCAGTTCAACTAGTTCACCAAATGAAAATACTAAGGCAGTAACCTTCCGCATTTATTTGGTTAAAAATACATTTTGAAAAATGCTGGGGCCTCCCATCTTTGATTCACCGCCCTCTGACATCACTGGAAAGGACTTGTTTTTCCAGGCTCAGGAGATTAGATCATTTGCTGAATATAATGCAGGAAGTCTTCAAAATAGTCAACATACAAAATAACCAGAGTGTATGTTCCCATTCAGAAAAAAGGACTCTTGCTGTCCTTAGCCCCACTGACCCCTTCAACTCAGGGTCTGTGACCCTGGACTGAAGTCACATGCACTGGAGCATGCAGAAATAAGCAGCCTCAAAAGTGATAGATCATTTACATTTTTAAGTTTTTTTTAAAAAGAGCTTGGAAATCTCAGTTGAAGCCACTCTTGAAGGAGAAACAGCTAATATAAAGGCAGGGGTCTTCCAGTTGAAAGCCACCTGTTACTTTTTCTAATTATTATGTGGCATTAATTTTACCAGGGTTGCTGGGAGTGTTTCCTCCAAATTTCTTTCACTCTAGTTTTTATTCTCCACACTCCCAAAAATGTATTTCTAAGTCTCCAAAGGCAAAGACACACTTTGAACACAGTGAAAATTCAAATTTATATCAAATAATTTCACTGGTCCACCTTAGGTCATTCTGGGAGAGTAACACAGAAGTCTTTTCCAGACTTAATTCTTCAGATTTTTTTTTTAACCTTAGAAGTGAGAAGCTGATGGAAGACCTTGTATGTGCAAATCATGTTTTCCCACCAAAACATACCCCCCTCCCAGTTTCTCAAAGGTGATCATACCATACAATCCATTAAAAGCACCGTTCCCAGTAGTCTTGGACAACCCTCTGAAACAAAAGGGGTAATGAACAGCAAATATAGCTACTAGCCAGAGATGACTGGGGTGGACCTTCATTGGTCTACTCTTCTTGGTGCCCTACACAAGGCTGTTTATTCTGTCCTCCACATGAACCTTTGCATGACATGGTTCATCATTTCTTTTCATTTTTCTTACCAAAACGGATTCTTCTTACGTTTATCTTTTGCAACCGGAATAGCCAAATTTAGCAAACTATGGTATTTTGAATTTATCTGCACAAGTTATTTTAAACACAGGAACTGAGGTGGATAGCACTAGAATATTAGAGCTCAAGACAATCATTTTGCAATCAAGTTACTAGAAATAAAGGGAAGGCATGTATAACCAGTTGCTACAAGAGCTATCATCAACTTAAATATTGGCAATGTTTCTCATACACTGTCATTCACTGGGAGTTTAGCTGAATGTCATATTAGGGAGCTGAACAATTAACAGCACGGTAATGCTGCTGGTCACTTTTCATTGCAACCTGCAAGGATTCCAGTCAATATCAGATCTCTGCTGCAACCTCAGCATAGTCTATACCAGCTTTAACCTTGGTGCTGAGAGAAAAGGCCAAAGATGCTTCTGCTTTCCTGCATACTCTCTCTGCATTTTACAGAAGATTAGCAATCTCCCATTAGCTTCTTGGCCTGATGCATGAAAGTGGCTTTAACCCTTTGGAGAGGTCAGGGAGGAAGAAGACACTTACGTCCTTTTGTCTATGAAATCCAATCTGGCCGACGTCCATATCTGCTGTTTTCTTTAGGTTGGCCCATGGGGTGTATACTACATTGACATTATTCATTTTGCAGCCTAAAGAAGAGAGTAATTATAGAGAGAGAGTAAGAGAGTAATTATGACCATTTCTGGGCATCTTTCTCATTGCCTTAATTAGAATCAGAAACATTTACATGGTAGATTACAATATCTACAGCTAAACCATTTTCCAAGAAACTCAAAGTATCTTCAGAAATGTTATGTTGGAGATGCTGTTTTCAGTTATGCCTAACTGAGGCAGAAAGAGTGGAAGGCTCATCAGCTCCCACAATGCTACCCAATCACGCTACATCACATCCTTCTGAAAATTGAGGCTCAGAGCAGTTAACTAACTCCAGTTGTTCCCAGAAAGGCACTAGTTAAAGGAGGAGGCTCTCAACCTTTCATCTGTCTAACTCATGCAGGAACAGAGAAGCAATGCCAAGAATTCAAGAGTTCCAAGATTCTTGGGATGAAATTTTTAAACACAACAACTGAACAAGGCATCTGCTCCCCATGATATAGTCAAGGCACAAAGGGCGTGTCTAAATATAACAGTCACAATCAAGCAATTATAATCCTCCACATGTAGCCCTGCACATGCAAGGACTTGCTATTATCTTCTAGCTTTGAAACAAGGAGTTTGTCCAGCCAAAAATGGCACAAATTGAAAAGAACTCTGTATAATGTAACATTTATTGTTCCAAGCAGAATCTATTTTTTGAGGACCATACTTAGACTTTGAGTAGTATACCAAAGGTTGTATGTCAAAAACGATTGCAGGACAAAAACTATGTTTAATTTAAATTACATATATTACTGAATTATTTAATAATTTTCTTCTATCATATTAAAAATTACAATTTGATAGCAATTTTGGAGCCATCTGGGAGGCTGCATGCAAGCTTTTTGGGGACTTTAGACTGTCCTATTCTAAGGACAGAAATGGAATTACCAAGGCTCCATATTCTTTACTACTTTATAATTCTAGTTTTATCCACATTTCCTCCCAAAAGCTCAAAGTAGTGTGCATAAATGTGTGTTTATCCCTCAACAGTTATGATTCAGCCCATGAAATTCTTGAATGACAATTTAAAACTGGGACTCTGAAATTGCAGTCCTATGTTTGATCCCCAAAATCATACTGGGCCTTTCAGAACACTTACTTGGTAATCTATCTTGTATCTGCCTAGAGTGCCTTCTCCAATTACTGAGAAGTGATCCAAGTCATTGCAATGAACACAGATACAGCAGGATAAAAAGAATCCAAACTAAAGTTTATGGGATAATACTGAAACTTCCTTTTAATCTTGTGCATGTGGTGCTCTAATATTTCTTTGAGAAAAGTTTGCAGACCTAAGGCGCAGAGCATAAAGGAGCTTTCAAGACCAAAAAACATCTCTAGGAGATGTACAGTTCTTCATGGCCTATGGTAAAAGAGATCCTATAAACATTCAGCTCAATTAGTTACAGATTCCAAAGGCTACTTCATGTAATATCCCCCTCCACATAAAACGGGACAGAGCACAAGCCTCAAAATTCAACCTGCTCATACTTCCTAGAGGGCAAGCTGGCAAACCCAGCAGCTGTCAAATTCAAGGGCTAGAATTCTCAGCAAAGAAGAAAATAGAAGCATTCCAGAAACCCAGCCTTAAGGAGGCTTCTGGCTTAGGTAGGGAGAGAGGGAACATGAAGTAACACTCCTGAAACCCACCAGCTACCTGAAAGAATAGGTTTCCATAAGCCCACCTGGCAGCATACAAGAGGCAAGGCTCCCATTCAGCTGGTACTTAATACTCATTCCATTATTACATCCTGTTTAAAAATTATATTGGATAGCTGGACAGATGTAGTTATAAGAGTTCATTAGGCAATTAACTGAATTTATAGAATCTGGTTCTCCTAAAAGGATCCTTGAATCTGACTATATCCATGATATTTTGACCTCTACATGCTCACTAAAGGAAGAAGGCCAATCCCACATTGATGTAATTTGGATAGGCAGAAAAGTCAGGGGGGTAGTGGGAGAAGAAGCTTCTGGAATCCAGTTTGAGGTTTGTGAACTGCTTTCCCCAATTACAGCTGTCCTACCGACTGTCGGCTGAAGAATGATAGACTTAACAGTCCAAACATCTGCAGAGCAGAAAGTTGTGAAAAGCTGCTATAAGAAGAATCAGAGGGGAAAAACTGGATAGGTTTCTGTGATCCTTATGCTGGTTAAAAAGGAGGGAGGAAGGGAAAGATCTTTCCTTGCCAAAGTTCTCTGAGGTATCAGTGGTCATTGACAGTATCTTAACGGACTAGTAAACTATGCCAAAATCTATGTTCCCCCCACAGTTGGAACCATCAAGTGGTAACAGGACAAGGCAGTGTAATGGAAAACTCCACAGAAAGGCCACAACATAATAGTTTCTGTAAATTCTGAGACAATGCTGACCAAGGCAACAGAGAATAAGGAAACTTGGAACATATAGCATTTTACTTGGGGAATTATATCCTCTTCTCCCTCGCCCCCCAACAATGTCCAAAAAAGATTGGAAGTTAAGTTGGGAAAAGAAGGACTTCATACTGTCAAAAATCCCATGAATACTTGCAAAGAGTCACTGAGATTCAGGCAGTGTACAAATTAAATAAATAAATAAGATCCCCATGGACACCTGATGAGATCTGAAGTGGGAGGAGAAGATGGCTTACAGAGGCAAATATTGACCCATCTCTAACAGAGGCTTCTTCTCTTCAACACACTGGTACGTTAGACAGACAGATGCTAGACCAAAGAGAAGCAATCTGTTGGGGATAGAGGCACATCTGGAATGTAAACAGCATGTAGTGGGTGCACTTAAGGTAGGCACACTGTTCACATGATGACTGTCATGGGAGACATGGCCGGTCACAAAACATGAATTTATCACAATGCAAACTAGTCTCTTAAGGTATTCTTTACCATCTCAGTAGGATCTTTGAGGGGCCAAAGAAATTCTTGCAATTAAATACAGTATGATGGTTGACTTTTGCTTTACAGTATTCCATGTTTTAAAAAAATATTCTTTTAATAAAAAAAACAAATAGGGCCTATAGGGAACTTTGTGGGCACCAAGGAAAGTGTCTGGAAGCCTACTTGTATCCACAATTACAATATTGCCTACCTCTGTGCTACACTCTACCCTGTCTTCCAGTAGAGATTCAATGTCTCCATTACAATTTGACATTTGCCTAGCTGAAACTAATTACCACTGTTCCTGATGCCTTTGCTAGGACAGCTTTTTTTATATTTGGAAATGCCCAGTTGATCCACATTGTTGTAGGCTCTGCTGCTTCAGTCTTCTTTGTTAATCCCACATTCAAAAGCCTTCCTACCTGTCTCTCCCCTCAAAATCCTTGTCGTTTTTTTGACTCACTTCCTCATATAGGCAAAAATTTACCTTGAATGCTGTTGGCCTTCACAAGCTGTGCACAATCTATCAAAACCTCCTTAGGAATGTCATCCATTGTCTGCCCCTAAAATGAATTAAGGTGGATATGAGCATCCTACATGTGGGAATGCACAGAGAACATGTTGTGAAAATACAGTTTCACGGTCCCTTGCATTAAATTTATAGATACATAGGGCAGTTATAGCAAAAATCCCAAGCCTTAAACAGAGTAACAGTATGATGTAAGTTTTCTTGGACTAGAACTCATTTCATGCAAGTTATGAGCTGGACTGGAGATTTAAAATACTGCATCATTAAAAATGTGTTGCTCTATGCAATGCTACAAAACTATTTGCTGCTATTGTAATGAACAAGTTTACATAGGTAGTACCCAGTTTAAGAAGGTGTTTGTTCCCAAGGTCTGTCCTTAAGTCGAATTTGTATATAAGCTGGAACAGTATTATTGTATAATACTGTATAAGTAGCATTGTGTAATGGACTTGAACCATTGTATTTTTAACTCAAAGTTTGTTACAATAGGCTCCATTCTTAACTATGGATTGTCTGTAACATGGGCGTTCTTAACCCAGGGACTAG